ACCGGGGTCCGGGGCTTGTGTGTGTTGCCTCTGTCCGCCGCGGCGCGCGCCGCGTCGCGCGCCGCGTCCCCACGTGCACACGCACGCGCACACACGCGCGCGCCGACCGGCGCCGGCCGATGCTAGCCTGGCCTCTTCGCACACACTAGCGGCGTCCCCTCCTGTCACAGCGAGTCTCTGACACACACTCATTCATTCCTCCGAGACCGACCCCAACCGACGGACGGCCATTATGAACACACACACGCCTTGGAGGCTTGGTGTTCACACGCACAGCGGCTTGCGCGCGCGCTTCCCACACACACTTCCAGCCGAGCTGGGTCGTCTGGAGAACTCCACCGAGGGCCGGGCGCACCGAGGACACGCCCACCCTAACCGCTCGGGGGGCCGGTCCCTGCGCATCCGCTAGCGAGGTTTTCTCGCACACACAGCGTCTCCCCTCGAGCGGCTCACGTTTCCCCCAGTACACACCTCCCGGAGGGGGCACAGAGGCCCCTCGGAGGCGCGCGCACGTTCACGCTCGCGCGCACTACCCCAGGGCAAGCCACCGGCTCCAGGTGCGGCCGCTCAGCCACACCTCCGGAGCTCTAGCCGCGGGCCCCCGAGACCCCAGCCCCGCCGCCTCGCCGCCCGCGGTAACCAAGGCCCGCCGGCCCTGAGCGCGCCCGCCCGCCCCAGTCCCGCAGGGGACTGCAGCCCCGCCTTGCTGAGCGGGAAAGTAACCGGGGTGGGTGTGTGGGTGTCTCAGACACAGAGATGCATTTGTGGTGCACAGGACTGGTGTGTGGAATGTGTTGCATGGGTGTGTGTGTGTGTGTGTGTGTGTGTGTGTGTGGTATGTAGGTGTGTATGGTTGCTATGCGGAGCATGTGTGGTGGGTATCTGTGTGTAGTTGGATGTGTTCAAGTGTGACATGGTATGTACGGAATGTATGTGGTGTGCGTGATGCATGTGACATTACATGGTGTGTGATGAGGTGTGTGTATACAGGAGTATGTGGTATGGATGTATATGACCAGGGTGGATTGTGGGTGGTGTGTGTGTGTAGTGGAGTATATGTGGTCTGTGTAGTATGTGCAGCTGTGTATGTGTGTGTATTTGTACACGATGTGCGGGTGGATGTGGTTATATACGTGTTGTGCATATGTGTATGGTGTCTGTGTGTCATTGTGGTACATGTGACTGGTATGTCAAGTGTGGGTGCACAGTGCATATATGGGTAGAGCTGGGTATGCGTGATACATGCGGGTGTGGGCACACAAACAGGACTCCTGTTTGCTGTGGACTCTCGTGTGTGTCTCTGTGTGTTGATGCCTGCACTGACCAGCGAGTGTGGCTGACCCGGATGGTGGCTGCGACTCCTCCGCACAATCAGCTTGCCTTCTTCCCTCCTGGGGACAAGTTGCTCCAAATAGATTTTCCATGCCAGGCTCAGCTGCTGAGAACCCACCCCAGGCTGGATTCAGTGAAGAGAAAACAAACCATTTGCTCCCAGGGAGCATAGCATGGTTAGGAATTAGTGTTTCCCTGCAACAAGGCCAGAACCTAGCCTTGAACACAGAATAGGAGGGAACCTACTCTCTGTATTTGCCAGACGTTTTTCCGAGCAAAGGAAAATGCCTGTAATTGCCAAGGTTCAGGGAACACCAACAAAGCCTTTCAGCACAAATGTTGTGTGGGAACATGTTTATGCCCAGGTCCGCTTTCTCCGTTACTTTATTCCTTTCCTGCTTTGCACTGACTGAGGAGACTCATCATGGTTTTGAAATAACGAAATTGATCTTCAAGCACTGAAAATCCTTGCTGCCATAAGCAATCCTTGATAATTTTCCCTTTTATTTAACCTTAGCTTGAGAAGGGAAATGTAATTTGCATATATCTGACTCTAGTGAAGTCTTCATTTATTAGGGGTTAGGGAGAGACTCAATTTGGTGGCAAAGGAATTTTCAAGAAAGATGTAAATCAAAATCACAAAATACGGTTCCCCCAATAACATTGAAACAGTTATAAATATGAAGCATCATCTCTTCAGCTTCAGCCCCAGGTGCCCCTGTCCTGAAAAACATCCTAATGAAATACATCCCTGACTCATAAAATCTATCTATGCTGGCTATTAATTTCAGTCTGACCCACCTCAGAATATCATGAGTAAAAGGAAAACTTAATCAAGTAAATCCTTAATCCAGTATTGCTGTAGCAAGCCAACCCAGAATTTTTTTAACAAAGGGGGATTTCCATCTCTTCTACCCTATTTTTCTCCTTCCCCACCCATAAGCTCTTTAATACTTCCCAGATTATATAAGGCCTTATAACAGAATCTTTTCAGCATTTTACTAATATTTAAACAGCATCCTCCCACTGCCTTTTACTCTAGGGTAAAAACCACGTTATAAGATTCTATTACATAGGAAACCATACCATCTTAGCTAGTGACAAATGAGGATGAGAAAGAATGCAATATAGCACCTTATAACCAGGAGGCAAGGTAAATACCCAAATATCCTTCTTTATGTTAGCCACAAGATTTGAAGCTGAGAAGCCTTTACATTGTCTGTAACACAAAACTCATTCCATCCCCTTGCCCTAAAGATGCTATTAACCTCTACTCTGCAGTGGAGCAGGAGGAAATAAGTGTCCTGTGACCTCTCAAACTTATATACATACAGCATTCAGGATGTGTTGTCACGATACAAGTTTTTTTTTTTAATATTTATTTATTTTGAAAGGGGGAGAGGGACAGGGAGAGACAGAGAGAGAATCCCAAGCAGGCTCCACACTGTCAGCACAGAACCCAAAACGGGGCTCGATCCCACGAAACATGAGATCATGACCTAGCCAAAATCAAGAGTTGGATGCTCAACTGACTGAGCCACGCAGGCACCCCCAGATACAAGTTTTTAAAGTATTATTATGGAAAATGAAAAATACACAAAAATGTATTAACTCATTCTTGTTTCATTTATAGCTCCACCCACTCCTGACCCCTATCCTGCCACTGGATTGTTTTGAAGCAAATCCCAGACACCAAATAATTTCATCCATAAATATTTTTGCATTTATCTCTAAAACCATAACCCATAACATCATTATTACATAATAAGATACAATTTGATCATAAATAGGAACTTGTCCCATATCTGCTGACCACCTCTCTGCCTCCTCTTTAAGAATGTCACCGTTCTACCTAGAATTTTCCTCTTTCCCTCTCTGCCTCTTCAGCTTATGTGCCACTTTCTCAAAGAAGCTTTACTCTGACCAACCTAGACTGTTATACACATTCTCCCTTAATATCACTTTAAACAAATAATTAAAGAAGGAATTATTGAACTAATGTCTTTCCCCATTCTTCCCCTCCCCTGCCACAAACTGTAAGCTCCTTAAGGGCAGGAAATCTGTCTTGTTCACCATCTTGTTCCCAGTTCTTTGCACAGAGAATAAATGTTGAAGTAGTGAAAATCATTCCACCTCAGACTCCCAAAGGCTGGAAAACTGTAGTAAATTGTTTGCAAATATGTGTGAATAGTTTATATAATTACTCTTCCTATAACCACACTGTTGGATACTCACCCTCCCTACTGACTCTGAACTTAGCTATGTGTATTAGTTATCTATTGCTATATAACCAATCACTACAAGGTTAAAACAACTCAGTTTCTGTGAGTCAGGCATAACTTAGCTAGGTCTTCTGTTTGAAAGTTTCTCACAAGACTGCAATGAAGGTATGGGGCAGGGCTGCGGTGTCATCTAGAGTTCATTGGGGGTTGGGTCCGCTTCCAAGTTCACCCACTCACCGGTTGTTGACAGGATTCAGTTCTTCAAGGAACTATTGGACTGAGGGTCTCAGTTCGTCACTGGTAATTGGCTAGAGGGCTCTCTCTGTTCCTTGCCATGTGGACCACTCCATAAGGCAGTACACACATGGCAGCTTGCTTTACCAGAGCAAGCACATAGAAAGAGTCAAAGAGAGTGTCATTAACCTAATCTTAGAAGCTATACCCCATCACTTTCATGGAAGCCAATCTTGAGGTCCAGTCTATTGACTTGAGGTCTAATGAATCTATTCATTAGAAGCCAATCTTGAGGTCCAGTCCTCACACAGGGGGAGATTACATAAGGACATGAATATCAGGAGGTAGGAATTATTGGGAACCACTCCACAAGCTGCCTGCCACATCATGTGACTGACTTTAGCCAATGAGAGAATACCAAATTTGGCATCACAAAGATTTCCAAAGAGCATGCTCAGTGGGGTTTCTCTCTTTTTGTGCGTAGAACCCTGAGGGCACCAGGTATACAAACTTGATCAAGTCTGCTGGAGGATGAAATGCTTTGTGGAGGAAAATGAAGGTGCCCCACTTGATGAACAGCTGATCTCTAGCCAATGGTCTACCAACCCCTATCAGTGAGGCTATACTAGATCATCCAAGACCCACTAGTTAACCACAGAAGCATGAGCAAGTCCAGTAGAAATTGGCTGAGCCAGTCCTGACCTGAACAGCCACCAGGACACATCATAGAATCAGGAGCTACATAAAACAATTGTTGTAAAACCTGTTGTTTTGGGCTGTTTCTTACACAGTAAAAGCTAACTGAT